AAAATTAATAATAAAAAATGAAAGGAAAAAATTTTTTAAAAGAGAGCTAGGTTTGAATTCCAGATCCAACCCTTATCTTTTTTTTTTTTTTTTACTTTCAGCATCTAATTTCACGAGGATCTCAGTTTCTTTACCTACGAAGTGGGGTAATAATGGTACCTTGTTTATAGTGCTATTTTGAAGATTAAATGGAATAATATATGTAATGTAGACTGGGGTCCAAAGACTTCTCGCCCCTGTAACACAGTAAGTCAAGCTGCAGGGACTTGAAACCAGGCTTGTCTGATTACAAAGTCTACCTTCTTACTTGTTGAACTGTCCTATTATAAACACATGTTATACTAAAGATTAGCCCATAGATGCTGCTGTCTGAGACTATTGCTCTGAACCAACCTGTCCACCTTGCTCCAGGTGAGGTCCACCTCTCATCTGCCTTATTACACTGCGTGGCTCACAAGGGTTAGGCATGACTTATGCAACCCCATGCTCTGTGCTTATTCCTGATGGATTTTTCCCAATACTCAGGTCCTATGTTCTGTGACCCATTCCCATATAACCCCTGGCCTCTTCCAGGATAGACCTGTACATGTGTAGACTCCTCCTGATATCTAGACTCCAACTGAGCTAAACTGATTGGCCTTAGGGTCCTGGTATCCTTATTTCTGTAGGAGACCATTTCATTTTAGATTGTATCTCTGAACACAAACCCTGCAACTGGTCATTTGACCCATTTCGGTCTTTTGGTGTTGGGGGAGCAGATACAAACAAAAAAGTAGAAAGATGCACATCAGATGCTTAAGTCTCCCGTGTGCCTATGTTGGAACGTGTTATGGGACATGTGGCCAGCCCAGGGAGGAGTATCATACTATAGCTTATGTAAATGGGTCCCCTACAAAGCACAACTGAAGGAGCTTGAGTGGTGCCACACCTTAGATGTTGAACTGCTAATTCCATGGTCAGTGGTTCGAAGCCACCAGCTGCTCTATGGGAGGAAGATGGGCAGCTTCTTCCTCCCAGATTTACAGACTCAGAAACTGGATGGAGTGTTGCATGAGTCTGAAGTGACTTAGCAGCAGTGGGCTTGGTTTCATTTAAAGCTGTTAGATCTTATTGCCAAATGGTGCCAATCTGTATTTGTGCAACACAGTGGCCCTATGGATACCTGTCTCCAAAGGCTTGGCTTCTGGGGGTAATCTGATGATAGAAGAAAGAGCAGTTGGGGCAAAGGAAGTGAATGGAGAAGAGAATTGACCAGAGTTGAGAAAGGCATATTGATGCTTTACATGTACTGTTTTCTGCAGGCTTCCTGGTAACGCTCTAAGGTATATTTATTATTAGTTATGTTTTTGAGATGAGAAAATTGAGAGCTAAAGAAAACTGGTTACTTTGTCCAAAATTATGGAACCAGTAAGCGATGTTGTGTGAAAAACCAAGTTCGAGATTCCTTTGTGCTTCCTGAGACGGTGAATTGAAATAAAATTCCTTTTCAAAGACTTTTCCCTCTGCCCCAGGGACTTTATACAATTATCTGAGAAGGGCAATATTAGTCTGAGAGCTGAAAAATATTTTCTGTGTCAGACAAAATTTAAAATTCCTAGAATTCAAATGATTTTGTTGTTGTTGCGTAGTGCCGAGTTGAAAAATGATTCATACCTGAACCCGCAGCAGGTTTGCAGATGTGGTAAACCACATGGGAGGAGAATGTGTATCTTTCTCTCTCAGAGTAACTATGCAATCAAGATGCATTAACCATAACTGGTGACTAGAATGCAAAAATTGGAAACAAAGACAGACTGGTAGTTGGAGAATATGATCATGGTGACAGAAAGTGTCAATCAACTATCCATTGCCAATTTGTTGTTGTTGTTATGTGCCGTCGGGTCGCTTGCAACTCATAGGGACCCTATGTACAACAGCTCTAAACTCTGCTCTGTCCTGTGCCAATCTCATTGTCTCCGAAACACTCATCCCGATTGCCCCAGTCACCGAATCAATCCACCTCCCAGAGGGCCTTCCGCTCCTGTGCTGTCCCTCCACCCCCCAAGCATGATGTCCTTCTCCAAGGACCAGTCTCTCCTTATAACATGACCAAAGTATTTCAGACGAAGCCTCAGAATCCTTGCCTCCAAGGAGCAGCCCGGTTTAACCCTCTCCAAGATGAATCCGTTTGTTTTCCTAGCAGTCCATGGTACTCAGCACTCTTCTCCAACACCAAAGCTCAAAAGCATCAATTCTCCTTCTATCCTCTCTGG